TTTTTTTTTTTTTTTGCAATTTAATCACGACTTTTGAAACTTGAAAAATATAACATGATCTTTTTGCATTTTACAAATTCTATCAAGAATGCCGTTCTAAGGTGACCAGCATCTGACGTGGCACATCATCCTCTAGTCACAAACCACATCAAGTGAAAGTCACTGGATAACATAAATTTTGACTCGATCTGCAAAACTGAAGTCATGCTCCTTTCGCAAATTTCAAAAGTCAGTTATATAATGGCACAACTGAACTGTTTGGAACAGTCATTATTTAATCATACTACAAACAAAAATTAAGATTAATAAATTTTAAGCACGTCCAAACCACCACAACCAGTAAAGTTGAGATAAATCAAGTACCTGATTCTTCTGCATCTCCATAAACTCCTTCTGCATTAGGAATAATATAAACCACCATCAAAACAATTGACACCCAATTTCGACCTCATCCAATTCCAACATTAAAAAATAAAAAATAAAATAAAAAATAAAAAAAAAATTACCTGCTTCTTCCTCAGCTCCTCATTCATTTCTTTCAGTTTCGCCACCTCTGCCTCCAGCTCCAGAGTATATGCCTGCAAATTTTTGTCCGCTAAAATCACTAACTTCATTCACACATACCGGCACACTGTACTAACAATCAAGAAAAAAAAAATCCACACGAAACCTGCTTTCTAGCTCGTGACCTAGCAGCAGATTCCCTGTTCTTGATCATCCTCTTACGCCTCCTCTCCACCACTTTCTCCAAAGAGCTGTTCGACCTCCTTCCCCTCCCAACCTCCTCGAAATTGTAAGACAGAGGAGGCGAACAGGACGAGGGCGTGTCTGCACAGCTCTTCACTATGCCATCAGCAGCATACAAATTATTCACGACGTTTTTCGTTCCTACCATCGGTCCTTTTGCACGGTATGATCTCGAGAGCTGAATGTTGCTTCCGATTTGTGTCGACTGTGAGGAAAACGTGAGGGTCGTTTGCTTCGGGAATAGAGGCTGCAGTTGTGGTTGAGAAGCTGCTGTTGTCACTTGTTGACCGGTCAACACGGCGAGATTACTTTGCAATGGCTGTTGTTGAAATCCCATGGTTAAACCTGAATTGTTCGTGTTCTCATTTGGCGCGCCGTATAAATAAATCCCGTTTGTTTTCTCGGGAAGTTGGGCCTCTTCCCTAACGACCCCTGCCTTGGCTAAAAAATCTTCGAGGGTCATCCCGCCCAAAGTGGGCTCCCTTTGACCCAAGGTCAAACCCCCACTGTTTACTCCTACGGTTTCTTTCAAAACGTCCCGCCAAACTTCATCGACGGTTTTTTGGCTAAGTGTACGTGGCAGTGTAAGAGAGCCCTGCCGCTGTAAATTTTCACTACTCCTCGGCTGTAAGGTCTGGCTCTCTTCGGCTGTCCAGATGCTCTTTAAAAGGTCCTCCATGTTCATGGACCCAAAATCCTTCCCAGGTCCACCTAGAGTATTTTGGAACTCATCAAATGTGAGGGAGTATATGGAAGACTGGCGAGCCAACGGGAAATTGACAGCTGTCCTCCCATCCAGTTGAGACGCATCCCCAAGGTTTTTGGAGTTCATGTAAGAGCCCATGGTTAGGAGAAAACAAAAGGTGGAGCCACTAGCTGAGCTGAAGAGGTTCACAATGATTAGTGTAAAACCAAGAAAAAGGAATGCAAAGATGGATTTCTTTGCCAAATATTCCGTTATTTGAAAAAACGGAAACAAGGAAGAACAAGCTCTGGGTATGAACCAAGCAAAAAAATCACACCTTGAAAAAGACTGTGCTTGGACTTCGAAGTTCTTTTGGAAACTTTACTTTTTCAAAAGCTGAGACACTGGAGAAAAGAGCATTAGAAAAAAAGGAACCCAAAACCTGAGATAAAAGGAGGCAACATTAAAAACTAATAACAGAACACATTATGTATAAGACAAATACACTCCCTCCATTCCATCTGTCAAATATAGGCTTCTTCTCCTCTTATGCCAGACCAAAACAAAGGTGTTTGCGACCGTTTTGAGTGAATAAATTAGCCAATGAAAGATTGAAGCACCCGTATCTATTTCGCTTTTTTGTTATATGTTATTCATAGTTGGAATAGTAAAAGTTGATGTCCATAATACATATAGTGTAAAGGCAGAGTAGGAAAAATAACAAAATAAACAACTATCACAAAGTGATGCTATTTTGTTGGTAAAATTTTCCTCCAACCTTACACCAGGCAGAGTTAGGGTCCTATGGATATCACAGACAGCTCAATGCTTAGCTTTAAAGACTTCACGAAGACATAGCAAGGAAGCTTTCACTCGAAAACAGAGAGTTAAACAACTCTATTTTTCAATAAAAACCCACCAAAGGTTAACCATGTAAGCAATCCATTATTAATACACAGAGAGTTCCATCCTAACCATGTGGGTAGTGTCCACATATAGGCTTTTTCTCTGGTATTCTCACACACTATTTTGTTCACCATTAATACACATCTCACAGTTAATCGAGGTCTCGGTTTAGATCCTTAACAAAACGTCCACACACGCAAACAAGAAGGCAACTCTAACTAAGATCAAAATATAATCTTGAAAACTACACTTGCTCGATCGGCACATCCATAGTTTAGTAATCCTCAGGCAACAAAAGGGATCCCTGAAATCCAAAACCCAATCCTCTACATAATCATCTGCACAGTTTATGTTCGTCTTTCGCTTTTTACCTTTAAAGGAGCTCATTTTCAGCACAAAAAACCAAACCATACACAAGAAACAAGAAGACTTGATAACTCAGGATATCATCATATATACACCCCCAACAAATTTTAACGGCAAGAACCCTAATTTATCCCTTCAATCTCGTTTAGCCCATAAATTTTCACAAAACATATAATCGAATCAAAACAAAAGACAAAAGCACTTTGATCAAATCTCCAGATCGCTTGATTTAAAAAACAAAAATTAAATAAATATTAACAAAAATGTAATCTCATCCAACTTCATCTCTCATCTGGGATTAACAATTTTTATTTATTTTTTTTCCACAAAAATACTCGGAATCTAATAAAAAAAAAATAAAAAAATTGAAATTGACAAAAGAGGAAAGGGGTAGCTGTAGATAGAGAAGAAGAAAGAGAGAGATGGAAATCGGAATTTACCTTAATAGGTAGAGAGAGAAAGAGAGAGCGATCGTGGCGTTTCCTTCTTCTTCGGCGGCTCGATCATTTCTGGTGTCGACAAGTGTCTGTTGTTCATAGCTCTCGCCAAAACCCCTTCAAAGACACTCCCAAAGTAAACTCATTCTAATTAGCAGTAATATTGGTGGACACATGTTAATATATTCACGTTTATGTAGCATGCATATATTGGTGATGTATTTTTTAAACATATTAACGTCACTAATATGTGTCTGCCACATAAGCGGTGGACATATTAACATGTGTCTACCGTGGATAAGGGAGCATTACTCTTCTCATTAGAGCTCCAAATTAAGATAAAAGGAGTCTAACAATCAATTCTCATTTTCTCATTTTTTTCTCCTTTTCTTCTCGGAACGATACACAATTTATATATCAAAACGCACAAATGTGCAACTAGTACAACTCGTAGTTGAATAATATAACTAGAAGCCGAATAAATTGGGAGGACAAGTCAGAAGACTGCCTAGAACCAACAATTCTTATGTTTGGTGGTATAGTCATTAAATCGATATACATTTGTTCAGGGGCATTTGTTTAGGGGCGGACGCAGACGTTTATGACAACGAGGGCACAAACTACGTTTAACGGTCTACGCCAAAAGTCAACGGTCAAATCAATATTTAACCTACTAAAAAATAAAAAGATTAAATTTTGAGTACACATTGTTTCTTATGCAATAGTTAGGGACTGAGTCACATCCACATTTTTAGAATAAGGACACATTTGATCTAATCCCTATATATTACACATATATATTATACACATTATGTATAATATTTTTTTTATGTATTTTGGGAGTGGAAAGGAAATAACAGGAATTAGAGTATAGCATAAACATAAATTCTACAACTTAAAAAATAATATACTATTGAAGATTAAATAATTTTATACATTTCATTTCTTTCTTTTTTGTATAATAATTATTAATAACATGTATTTTTTTAATATCAATATAATAATAGATTTATACACACAAAATATATATATATATATGTATATATATATATTACACAAAATTTTACAGGGGCCCGTGCTCCTACGGACCCCTATGTACATCCGCCCCTGCATTTGTTTATAAATATGCATATTTTCATTAAAAAGATATCATATTTTAAAACTATCATAAATAAAAATATGACATTTAATGGCATAAATATATTTTATAGAATACAATATATATATATATATGCTACAAAATGATATCACTTTTAAAAGTGATATCTCAATTTGAAAGTATATAATATTTATTTAAACAAAATATAGTTGTTTTGTCAATGGACCGGCTACCCTAATGTCATGCTCTATCTTTGTTTTTTAAATTATATAACTTTCTATAAATGAGTTGGCCTTTTATTTTGAAAGAGTCAAAAATGGCTTTTTATGCATGTGTATCAAGTTCCAACTTCTTTTAAATGGGGGGGGTTGGCCTTTTGTTTTTAAGGGTCAAATTAGTTTTAATTATTTTTATTAATATTACTTTCTTCACCAAAGAAAAGTTGGTTTGGTGATAGTGAAAGTGAAAAAGATTAAAAGAAAAAATGGAACATAAAAAGTTGAGTGAGAAAAAGAGGCAAAAAGGGTGATCAAGGATGGGGCAAAAGGATATGAGTGTGGGGGTTTATGTATGGTAACTATTTGAGTCTTTATAATTTCTCAATTATTGGGTTTTTATTAAAAAAAAATGTGTTGTTAATTAGTGAAATTTGTATTAGATTTACTTACAAAATTAAAATTACTTTTGTTAACAAATTATTACATATCCATCAAAACATAATGTTTAATTGATTCAAAGTATAACGCGTGGAATCTCTCTATACATAAAAGGTTTGTATTTACTTAAAATAGTAAGATTTTTTCACCATACAAAATTATTAATACTTAATGTGGAAATCATTTAAATATTCTTTTTATATTTTTTCCTATTTTTTAGTAATTATTTTTACCGTTCGGTGTAAGACTTTTTTAATGTAATGTGATGTCAATAGTTTATCTAATTATATTGATTAAACATTTCAAATGTTTTCAATCAATTATTTCATTTCTACCTAAGACAAACTTTTCAAAAAGTTACAATCAATTATTCTATTTCTTCGTAATCTATAATTATATTTTGTTTATAAAATATAAATTAACGGATACGATTATAGTTTAATCACTTAAATGTTAACTATAAATGAATTAATATATGTGTGCGTGTGTGTGTGTGTGTGAAATTAAACAAAGTTCCTAACTATATTTTATTTTCTGATTAGTTTCTTATCATTGTATTTTATTTTTTTTTAAGTATTAATTTCAGATATTTTTTAAAAACTTTATAATATTTTATATATTATTCATTTTCATATATTATATTAAATTAATTTTTATTCATTTTCATATATTATATTAAATTAATTTATATTTTATAATCACCGATTTGACATTCATATTGTATTTATAAATTAAATATATTATTTAAAGTATTTTTAGATTTATTATTTAATTGCACATATAAATGAACTTAAATTTATTATTTAATACTAATTTAAAATTAACAATAAAAGTCTCAAGATATCCATGCGATAAAATATAAATGTATATATGATAAAATATATTTAATATAATATAATATAGTAATTAATAATTATCGCTCATGGGTTTAAAAAATCCATTCTAAAAAAGTAAAAACATATTAGTTAATTTTATTTTATGATCGAGTATAATAAATACTAAATGATAAATTGATGGGTCATATGTCGAACTTCTATATATATAAATTATTAGATTACAAATAATTAAAATAATCATAATATGTATTGTCATAAATTTTGATAAACCAATGAACAATCTTTTGAACTGTCATATGAGTTATAAGCTTAGGAAAAACATTATAATATTTATAATATATACTATTATATATTGCTAAAAAAGCAACGAATCATATGTCAACTATTCATTTGATTATTAACTTAGGTAAAATAAAAATATCTATACTATACTGATATGGGATACCATAATTACCAGATCGAGTATGACTTAAAGGAACGTTTCAACTGGACCGGGTGGACATGCATGTCGATTGAACTGTCAAGACACTGGAGGTCGATGAATCACCAAGTCGTTGACGACCTCAAAAACAAGGATCCTCGCCAGCAGGTCGAGATAAGGCTATTGGTCAACCTAGTAGAAACTCAACCGAGAGACACACAGGTCGAGGTCGCAACCTAAGGCCAAATTCCATACAAGGGATGTTAGAGCAACCTGGTTTGTAGGGAACCAAGTTGGTCGCACAATTATGTTGTCTAAAAGACAGACTGATGTGAGCACATTGCTTAGGAGATAAAAATGAATATTATTATAATAAGAAGCACACGTAGATAAGACCACGTGGAATAACATAATTGAGTAGTTGGGCACCCAGGTAGT